AGAGAGAGAGAGAGAGAGAGAGAGAGAGAGAGAGAGAGAGAGAGAGAAAGCAAGACAGCAGTGGTGTGAGGTTTGGTGGGTTTGGTGAGGAGGGGCTGAGTGTGGGCGAACTGCATTGCCAGGCCAGATTTTATGCCCCAGAGAATTTTGGCTTTCTGCCTTCATTTGTGTTAGATCTCTGTGGACGGAGCACGATCCTGAAGGAGTTTGGTTTCGGATCAACCTGCATGGTGAATACTGTGGGTTTATCACATTAGAGTGAAACCGAACCAAAAGCACACTTTTGTTTGAAACAACTGAAGGAAGACCAAATGTTGGACGCTGAATTATAGCCGTAATCCGTCTCGAATCGTATAACTGAACAACCTTAAACCATCTCATCTGCTCTCCGCCCTCCTGTTGGCTGAGTTACAAGTCAGCCACAGCACTAAAAATGAGCCGGACAACTTATCACACATGGACGGCAATTTTTCCTCAAACAAACGTAAATGCAATGCCATAAGCAATTCCAAATAAAACAGGTCTCGGAATATTTGTAATTTTTCATTGGGCAGTCGTTCCAAAACCGGATTTAATGGGGGAAGTAGTTGTGAATGGCCACACTGATGCATGCTGTGTTCGTCTTGGGTGGGAGGAATGCACCGAGTTGTTTTTAATTTCATTAAACTGCAGTTGCAGTGGTTCACATTCGAGACATGAACATGCATCTAATCAGCAGGACTGGGTTATTTACCACTGTCATAACGGATGCTCGAAAATCATTTAAATCTGGTTTTGTAAGCCATGCTAATGGGTTCCATTTGATGCTTTGAGGGGCACCAAATAAGAGATCACACTGGATTTATTATGTTGGTCAGCGACAATAATCAACATCATCCCACACCCTACATTACTAGAAATCATCTGGTAAGAAAGAGTGGGACTTGATGCAGATGACAACTGTGAAACCGTTTCTCTGTGTTTGACTTTAGCTGTGGTTAGCACTCTCACGCTATATCATTTCATGTCTGGTATATTTAGCACAATAATTCAATAATCCTATAATGACTTATAGTCCAAGTTGTTGATCACCTCATACAAAAAAATGTAATAAATACTGAATCCATTCATTGATGGCCTGTAAAACACAACAGCTCTTACTCAGTAGCATTTTGTAAGTACTTTTAGCCACTTGTTTCCATTATGAGTGAATAAAGGGATTTGTATCGACTTTGGTGTGAATCAAGGGATGACAGGGTTTCTTTCAAAGCAAAGCCACGGGCACACATCTGTCCCAGAGTCCTGCAGACAGTGTGGTTATTTTGCATGCTCCACTGCTGTTTTATGGAGGAATGCTCAGCAAGGCTCCAACAACTTGGACTCTGGCTTTCAGTCATTAATGTTCTAGGCTGTGGATTTGTGAACGACAGGAGGATTTAAAAATGTAGGATGATATGAATGGGAATTATTGCCCCAAATGCAAAATGACACTCTTTATGGTCAAATCAACTGATGGCAGAGCAAAAACAAATAATCATTTTATAGTCTTAATCCAGAAAAAAAAGCATCATGGACTGGATATTAAAGACTGAAATGTCAACGGAATCACTTTCTTATTGAGGATTACATGAGAAGATTGATACCACCTTCATGTTTGTACAGTGAATATGAATCTGGAGCCAGCAGCAGGTTAATAGCTATTACAGAAACAGAGGAAAACAGCTGGACAGACTTTGTTACCTTCAGATAAAACCAGGCTAGCTGTTTCCCCTGCTTCCAGTCTTTGTGCTAAGCTAGCCGGCTGCAGCCTTTAGCTTAGCCTACAAATATAAATTTTTGTTCAAACTCTCAGGAAGAAAGAGTACAAGCTGATTACCCAAAATCTGGAACTATACTGGAGCTTTACGCAGTGGAACAGAATAACGGAGTAGATCAACAGTATACCAGTTAATGCATCAAACTGAACATAGAATTACTCACCTTTTCACCCTTGGTACCTGGAGGGCCCTACGAAAAGAAGAACAATGATTAAACTTGTTTACATCACATAAAGACCAAGAAAAGGACAAATTATGATCTTTGACTGTTACATTACACTTACTGTACATCTCACTTGTTTATAGTCCTGTTATCTGTTCGTTTGTGCACTTTATTTGATATTTTACTGTACATTTTAATATGTTTCTCCTTTTTGCACTGTGTTGATTGTTGTTGATTGTTTAATGTTATGCACCACCTGTCATGTCAAATTCCTTGTATGTGCAACATGCCGTGGCAATAAATGGTTCCGAGTCAGATTCTAAAGCATCTGTAAAACCAGGGTGACCAATCATGTTTTCCAACAAACAAACAGAGCTACTTAACATAGTTTGAACATCATAAACCTAAGAGGGAGAAGGCGAAAATCAAAAGATTAACTTAATTGATTGAGTTTTGATGAAACTAACATGGTGCACTTTTTGACATCTCTTTCAGCATTTGATTAAAATGCCCTGTCACAGAGTGGGAACCGGTACCTTATGCTTGTACAAACATACAATTAAAACCAAAAACAGGCCCAAATCAAGTCCATGTTTACTTATAGGATCAAATCCAGCAATCTGCAACCAAGTATTGGCAAGCACATTATACAAATGTGCCCTGAACACACAGCAGTTTTTGCATCCAACTTTTGTCAATCAGCTAGCAGGGGCTCCTGGGTGGGCTCTCTAAAAGATCATCACTGAAGTGGAGGATTTGACAATGAGGTGTGCATCCATACGCTGGAGACTAATGAGCTTGTGCTCAAAACACTATTTGTAACATTTATGTGGAAGGATGAAGCCCAGTATGCAGGGCTCTCTTTCTTCCCCTGATGTCGAACTTTTGGAATAAGCTAGAATTGGAAAAAATCAGTATTAGATCAGTGTCAGCACAGCAGAGTGACTAACCGACCGCCGTGCCATGTACTCTGATGCTAGTCTGTATTTCACATGAAAGGCTATCTGTCAGATATATTTTTCAAAAAGGAAAGTACCTTTATTCTGGTAGAAAAAGTTAATATTTGAGAGTAGAACTGAATCTTCCACAATCACTTCCAAGATTTTGGGCAATTGTGCGTCTCTTTTGTAACTGCCAAAAAAATATCACGTATGTCCTCAGGTAGAAAGAACAAGTTGTTCAGCTGTCACCAACACAACTGTGGTAATAGCTCTGCAGTGGTTACTTTTCCAGGCTAATACCGGTCAAACGTGGTTTACTTCCAAAGATATCAGACTCACAGAGGAAGGTCTGACACTAATCCATAGATTGATGCCATTAGTAGAAGACATATGTTTGGTCCAAAGACTCACAGGAACAACCTCCAGTGACCCAGAACAGCAGGTTTTGCATACACAGACAGGCTTCCACTGCACTGGCACACAATAGCACAGTCGAAAACTGAAATGCTCCAAAGGTAGTAAAAACAGTTTTCCTCTGCCAATTTCCCACACTGCTCTGGGGGAAGAGGAGAGGAGCCTACCCAGTGCCTTTGGACATGATTTTTTTAATGCACAGTTAACTATCCGTATAGCTTTATGTCGATCTATAGTTGTGCATGTGTTCCCAACTGGATCCATTCTAGGCCCAATTAGCTTTTGGTCATGCAATAAGAACCTGTATAGCAAGCTTGTGTAGCGCATCGTCCCATTTATTCAAATATGAGGCATTCACTTCAACAATCCCAGACAAAAGCTGATGGGAATTGCAGCTTTAATACAAACACATCTAAGGAGGTGGTCCTGCTGCTTACTTGTCTGGCCATACAAAGAGCCACAGCACACTTGTAAATAAAATGCGCCATTATGAAAACAATGTTTCCGATTGCGGGTCCCAAGGGGGGAATAACGGGCGACAAATTGGAAGGAAATGTGACTTTTACAATGATGTAGATGCAGTCCAGAGAGGCTAAATACGTTTCCAGCATGTTCCTAAAAAATGGAAGGCAGCTAAAAAAAAAAATCAGTGCAGGCTTTTTCTTGTGGAGGAAAATTGCCTTTGGACAATAGGCTATTGACAAGCTGTTACTGCAAACATATGTACGTCTGTGACAAAGAAATACATAAATATACCCACTGCAGCTTTTTGCACAAGCCTGCTTAACGTATTGCATCTGGCACTGAAAAATACACATAGTTGGCACACAAGACTACCGGGCTAAATGACTGGGTTAGTTTGTGGAAAGAAATTAAAACTCTGCTTTATATGATTTATCATTTCAAAAAATCCAGATTCGTAGTACAGCAACGTAGTGAAACTTGATCAAATACATGTTGAACCTCCATAACAGGGCAACAAAAACATGTGTTGGTTTTTTTTGTGAGGGATAAATGAGACCACTGGTATTTCCGGCTTGATTAACTAAGCCAGCAACCTGTTTGATGTTCAAGTACTTCAACTGTTTGTCAATTACTTTTAGCTGACTCTTCTGTTAATCCATTAATTAGCCAACTGTTTTAACTTCGCTTGCTAATGATTTTGACTTGGACCATGAAACATGATCACATCTGACCCATCCTGGCTCGCTTACATTGGCAACCTGTCGCTTTATGAATTGATTTTCAGATATTATTGATTACATACAAAGCCCTTTTTACGAAGGTCCAGACTCATACATAAATGGGATAGACCCTTTGCAGTCTGGGCTTCTGTGGAATGGCCTCCATGAGGAGATCAGGGCTGCTAACTCTGTTTCATCTTCTATATCACTTTCGAAAACCCACTCTTTTAGAATTGCTTTGCTGTGTTAGAATTAGTCTTTTACGATATCTTAGTTCATTTTTCTCAGTTTTTTGTGTTTACTTTGTACTTTTAGTTTATTTTATCCTCATTGTGTTTTAAATGAGTTTGTTTTTAATGTAAAACACTTTGTAACAGTGTTTTGAAAGTTGTAACCGCAATCAAATTGTAATTTCTATTATCAAATGAATCTTCCCGCATACCTCAAAGTAACCAGGGAGCTAAGTAACGCTATCAGACATTTGAGTCTTCATATGACTATTAGAAATGTTCTCTTTTTGAAACTGAACATTTTGATTACGCGTAATGGTTGCTAAATTCTATCGATTCAATTAAAACTTCACTCAGCTGCACTTAGTGGTAGATGTAACCTTCGCAAGTGGAATGCTGCTTTTAACACACCTAACCATATCTTGCACAAAAAAAACATGTCCATTTAGCTTCCATCTGGTCGTAAAGCACGTGTGCAAAGGATTCCGCTACACAATCTGCACCTGCTCATTAAACGGCCCATCATTTGCACATCACATGGACAGACAGCACCCACTGGAGCTTTTCCAAAATGTTTTAGCCAGTACAGCGAGAGTCTTTTATAGAGACTATTAAACAGCTCTCCTGCAAGGACCATTTCAAAAGGAGCGAACTGTACTACAGTACATGTGCAGCGGGTGTCTACTTGTCAAGCAGTCTCTGCAGCTTTGTGGGTTCAGTCGCCCTTAAGGAAGGTTTCTAATCAGCACCTGTGTATGCTTTTTATATCTTTTTTACTGCTTCTGCTCTGGCTCTTTTTCAAAAGCAGCCCTCCAGCAGGTGCTCCGTGGCTCATCAGGCTGCTTCTGTTTGATCAAACTTGCTCACTGTGCGTTACTTTGTTAAAGATGGTTAACCCTACAGTGCCTTTGACACCTTTACATTCAGATCACACTCGATTCTTGAATGGCCACATGCATATCTATAAAAACGGTAAATTAATTTATGATGGTTGTTAAACCAATAGCTAGCCATTTTGAAATATACAATTAATGTTCAACAGCTGGCTGTCGAGCACCTTAGCTTAGCATAATGATGAGAAAAGGGTGAACCAGTTAGCATGACTCGCCAGGGCCAGTTTTTACACTTTGCTCTTGTACAGATTAAACCAATAATATACAATGTGTTGATTGGTGAGCTTTAGAGGTCCTTGCTGGACTTTTGGACAGAGCCAGGCTCGCTCTCTCGCTCTGTTTCCAGTCATTATGCTAGGCTAAGCTAACTGCCTGCTTGCTGTAGCTTTATGTTTTACATAGATCTTCTCATGAAAAGCTCAGCAATAAAAACATACAAGACATTTTCCAAAAATGGAAAAAATGTTTTATTCCTTTTAACATGTTTCCAAATAGAAGCTAAGAATATATATGTTTTAAACATGTGTATCTTGGCTTTGGTGTACAGACGTTATTTCACTGTTACTGTCGGGGGCTGGAACAATTATTTCACAGAAAGCCTCTTTCAAAGATTTGTCCGTGTAAGGGTGCTGAAAAATAATATTTGTCTGTCATATGTGTGGTGATAAACAGAATGTAAACACCCCCAAAGCACTTATTGGAAATGACACATATCACGTCGATCTAAAGTCCCGAATCTTCTGCAGCTTAACGCTGACCAAACTTATGTCAAACTTCCATCATGAGATGATTTGTAACAGAGCATCCTGTGTGCATGATACTGTCAAGTTTTTTGGTGGACCACTGGATCAGGATTCAGCTTTTTTTCTATCCATATACACGACTAGCCCTCCCAGTCTAAGCCAAACCATGACCACTGGCTCCAATGATCCAAATGAGCTGTTGGTATGAAAAAGAAGAGTAAGAACCCCCTGCCACCTTTAAAACAGAGTAGGGGAGAAATATGGAAAGGTCTGCAGAGAAATTTAAAAACGCTAAGGGAGCTGGGGCCAAACCCGCAAGCGACATGAACATTGCCATTCAAATCTGACAATGCAAGTTACTTCACTTCATATAAACGGCAAATGATGTTCAATAAAATGATCCTGGCACCGAGGTACTTTTCATATGTGGCTCCTGCAATGCGGAATATCGAGATGTGAAAATATTGCACAACTAGATATCCATGTGTTCTGTGTTGGTCGGTCCTCGACTGGAGAAGAAGTATTAGAATTGATCTAGATTTCATCCTTATTTCATGATGATGCAGTTTCTCTTAGTTTCATATTATATGTCAAACAAATGATCTATGTGCATCCAAGATGC